CTCTCTCTCTCTCTCTCTCTCTCTCTCTCTCTCTCTACTTGCCGCTCCCCACTTCTCCTCGTCCCTTGGCAGTTCCACCGTCGACCGAGGCATCAATTAGAAGCTTTTATTAAAAATGAGAAATACGCGCTTTCTTGTCCAACTCGACTATTTCGTCTGCCTCTCTGCGACCTGCTGACTTTCCGTTTCCTTTTTTTTTTCACCGGATACTGTTTTAGACCGGAGTTTTCCACGTCATCACAATAAAAAGGTGCGTTCAATCCTGTTTAGCCGCACCTTTGCAGAGAAAGTGCAAGTGCAAGTTCAAGTGCCGTTCGGTTTTAATGCCTTTATAAATTAGACATTAAACTCTAAACAATTATAGTCCTTTAATTGTGTTACGTAACACCTCTGTCTCTCCAAAGATTCTGTCCCTTTACTGTCTTTTAGTCTGCCGACAGGTTTTCACTTTGTAGACTCAATTATTAAAACGACGAACCGCGCTCGTCTGTGGTGGCAGCTGACCCACCAGGACAGGTCTCGGGTCCCGGCGGGTCGTCCCCGGGGACCCGCGAAGGCCCCGGTTTCCCCGAAGACTAAGTGGAGGTTGAGCCGCTCACCTCGATCTTTTGCTCACCCGAACCTCACCCGCCCTGCTAAAGGCGAGCGCCCGCGCGCGCTCCGAGTGGTGTAACTTTTTGTTTGCCCAAACGCTCACCAATAAACCTTTTCCCCCTCTACTTCCCGGCTGTGCTCTTTGCTTCACTCGATTCTGTTCACACCCGCACGCCCATTTTCTTTTTGTCCTAGAACTCAGCTGAGCGTCTCCGTCTCCGCCCTCCCTTATATCCCCTACCCCCACCCCTCTGCATGTCTTGCTGACCGGTGTGACCGTGGCTGAAAGCTCAAGGGACTGACAGGGGTTTGGTCCGATGATGTGTAGCCTGAGGCTTCCCCGGCGCAGCTCCGTGGTGTTCCTCTCCCCACCCCCTCACCCCCTCGCCCTTCTTCTTTAGCCTCCCCCCCTATCCCTTTCCACCCCATCACCGTGCCTTGCACTGCTAAAAACGACAACGCGGAAATTTTTGATGGAATGACCCGATAATTTTTGAGCCAGGCGGACCCGGACGTCTACGGAAGGGCCTGACCATGCGACAAGCAGACCTTCCCGTTGCTTTGGAAACACGTACGCACGAGCCACGAGCCCCTTACACTTAATATGTAAGGGGACACATTTTGTTTCTGAAAATTGGTGAACGCTTCCGTGTGCATCTAGACCAGAAGCTATTTTTATCCATACAGCTAGACAAATTGGATTCTATGCCTTTATTGATATTAAACCAATTTAAATGAAAACTGACAACTTGACCATCACTGTCACTATCTTCGTAAATTTACAAAAAAATTGTAAACTCGAATCATAATATAAGTCGTAAATTTACAACAGCACATTTTTTACTGGCCAATCGATTTGAAGTCGATACACACTGCATGTATTTTTACGATTACAAATTGTAATTTTACAACTTGCGTCAAGGAACATTTTCCTGTAAAATTACAGTAGGTTAACCTACCTACTTTTTTACAGTGATTCGTACGTAAGTACACATAGGTACGGAAACTCCGACACCTTTTTACTGTGGATGTTTCCTGTATTTGGGAGGTACGGATCGCTCACTAATAACAGACACTTGGACTGAAGATGATGTCTGGTGGGACGAAATTAGGGTAAAACAATGGGGGATTACATGGGACCGGAGGGAAGAATTGTCGACTGGCAGCACACTTGAACTGCCGTGTATAATGAGCACATGCAGACATGCGGGTGTAACCAAGCTTACCCAGTCTGGGCCGGGGCTAGCTCTGTCTGTCTGTTATCTTCACCAAGAAAAAAAAAAGCAGGAAAGGCGGGTTTGCACGACACAAAGGAATAGGGAAGCTCTGGAGGTGGAAAATGCGTTTCACTCGCCTGCAAATGTTTAAATTCAGAAATTGAAGACGTCAAATTGGTGTAACTTTCTTAGTAATTTTCTTATGAACTTGATATTTTTTGACCTTTATATCACTTGCAAAATATTCAATCTTTTCATTAAACTGATTTTCATCTCTGGTAATTTTTTGTTTTTAGTTAACATGCTTAGTGCGGGAGGACCACTGAGAGAGAGAGAGAGAGAGAGAGAGAGAGAGAGAGAGAGAGAGAGAGGGAGAAGGGGGGCGAGGGCTTGTGGTACTCTGTGATATATACCGTCGTAAATCATAATTTAATTAATTTTTTTTCTAGCCAATCGATTTTAAGTCTGCATATGTATGTTGACGATTACAAATCGTGATTTAACAACTTACGTCTCGGAGAATTTTCCTGTAGAGCTTTCTACTATTTTTCTCAGTGTAGGGGCACAACGACGTGCCCATGTATTGTGGACGGTACTAGAAGGTGCTGGGTGAGAGGGGGGGGGGGAGAAGAGGTCCCTCTTGTCGGTCAGGGCAGCGCGGTAGAGAGCGGAACACGACGAAATCAAATTAGTGCCACTTAGAGTGTGCCGTGTGCGCAGTGGCCTAACCCC